CCACTACAAGATTAGGTATTTCTTAAGAATTAGGAGCAGGCAAACACGTAACAATTATTCCACAAGACATCCAACTAGCATGCCACATACATGGAGAATGTTCTTAAGAATTCACTGTGATGGGAAACATTACATTCTCAAAAATATTTTTTTCTCTTCTTCATGTTATTGGTAGTTCTGAATGTTAGATATTTTTTTCCATGGGGTCAAAAGGTACCTAATTATATGATTGTGAGTAAAAAAATAAGGGACAGAATTCAAGTACTGGCTGTTTTTCCATTTTCATTTGTGTGTGCATTTTTAATATAAATGCAGGGATGTAAAGCATTAATTCAAGTCAAAATGTTTCAGTGAACAAGTTTCAGCAATTCAATTTTACAATTATAAATAAAAAACTGTTAAATTTTTCTGGGCAATGCAAGCATTTGGATTTTTTTAAGCAAGTAAATTTCTCATTGACAGCAATTAAATGGTATTTGTAGCATTTTTATCAAATAGTAGATTCCACCCACTCACTATACTTTTCTGAGTTGTCCTACATGCAAGTACATGTTTTTAATGTTGTCTGTCTTCTGTACTGTTCTTATAAGTCTGCTATTAAAATACAGTAAACTATAAAACAAAAAACAAGAATTAGGAGCAGCAGATGGCACTGTGATACCCCAGCAATCAGAATGGGCCTGGGTACAGAGGAACAGCCATGAGTGGCTGCTGAATGGGCCATGTCTGCTGAGGTGGGACAACTGCTTTTAAGAATCATCTTCTCCATGGGCCTCTCACTCTGCTCCTGGCTGTTTCCTCCATGCAAGACCCAGAAAATATTGTGATCCCTTTTTCTCTTCCACCCCAGCCTGGGCAAGGCTCTCTCTTCTTTGTCTCCTGGGCTCATGTGAAACCAAGCTAACAATACAGCATGATGATTAAGAACACTAGAGTCTGACTATCTGTGTGTAAATCCTCAGTGGCTGTTCCTTTGAGACAGCACCTGTCTCATTTGGAATTAAATGAGGTTAATACACATTTTATTAAAAAACAAGCACAATAGCTAGCACATTGCACATAATAAGTATTTAGTAGATGATCATTACTTTTCTTTTTCTTACTATCATCATTTCCAAATTCAGAATAATCCAGAAAAGTGCATGATCCACTAACACCGAGATCATGAGAAGGAAAAGGGTCATTTCTAAGACTGTGGGCCACCATTCTCATCTTAAGGCAATTCCCTTCTGGCCTTGCTGTTTGTGCAGCCCCTTCCCCTCTTGGTGAAAGTTCAGAGAGATGGAAGAGCAGGACTTTAACCTCTCCTTCACTAGTTTCAAGATGATAATTGTCCTCTCCCACATGCAGAGTTATCAACCTGCCCCAACATTCCTTAGCTCCATGGTCTCCCTACAAATCACCAACACAATCTGAGCCCAGAGCCCTGCCATCATCCAACAGGCAGAGTTATTTCTTCATCAAGAGCCGTGCACACTCTGCTTTCTAGCATCTGTGTACCCAGCCATGCAAATATTTAATGAAAAATAAGTTTTGCAATTAATATGTAAAATCACAATGAAATCATTTCACAATCACTAGACTGGCAAAAAGGATTAAACTTCTGAAAATTCTATATCTTGATGAAGACACAGAACAAGGGCAATTTGAACACATTGCTTGCAGGAATGCAAATTGGTAAAAAAAAATTGGGGGAGAGAAATTTTATATTATCTAGCAAATTGCTCATGACCTTAACATTTAAAGAAGTACTCACTAGACTGTGTCATGTGCAATGGAAAAAATACTAAAGAAAACCCAATGGACCATTCATAGGAGAACAGAGAGACAAACGAGGTGCTTTTATGCAATGAGATCTATAGAGCTGTGAAAATGCATGAACCGGAATTACCCTTGTAACATGAATGACTCTCGACATAGCACTAAATGAGAAAAGCAAGCTGCACAAACATACAGGTGATATGTTATCACCTAAAGTCCAAACACCTAAGAATCAATCAATGGGATAGATTCAAACTAAGAAGTTTCTTCTCAGCAAAGGAAACAATCACTAACGTGAAGAGAGAGCCTACAGAATGGGAAAAAAATCTTTACCACACATACCTCAGATAGAGCACCAATCTTCAGGATATATAAAGAACTCAAAAACACACACACCAAAAAAAACAACAACAACAAATAACCCAATCAATAAATGGGCTAAGAAACTGAACAGACACTTCACAGCAGAAGAAATACAATTGATCAACAAACATATGGAAAAATGTTCATCATCTCTAGCAATTAGAGAAATGCAAATCAAACCTACTCTAAGATTTCATCTCACTACAGTCAGAATGGCAATTATTAAGAATACAAGCAATAATAAGGCTTGGCGAGGATGTTGGGGGAAAGGTACACTCATACATTGCTGGTGGGGCTGAAAATTGGTGCAACCACTCTGCAAAGCAGTATGAAGATTCCTCAGAAAACTTGGAATGGAACCACCATTTGACCCAGCTATTCCACTCCTCAGTTTATACCCAAAGGACTTAAAATCAGCTTACTACAGTGACACAGCCACATCAATGCTTAATAGCAGCTCAATTCCCAATAGCTAAACTATGAAACCAACCTAGATGCCCTTCAACAGATAAAAGGATAAAGAAAATGTGGTACATATACACAATGGAATATTACTCAGCCTTAAAGAAAAATGAAATTATGGCATTTTCAGGTAAATGAATGGAACTAGAGAACATTATGCTAAGTGAAATAAGGCAATCCCCAAAAACTAAAGGCCAAATGTTTTCTCTGATAAGTGGATGCTGATCCATAGTTGGGGGGATTAAAGAAGAATGAAAGAATTTTGGATTGTACAGAGGGCAGTGTGGGGAGGTATGTGAGGACAGGAAGAACAGTAGAATGAGACAGACATTATCACCCTATATACACTTATAATTACACTACTGATGTGATTCCTCACCATGTATTGCCAGAGGAGTGAGAAATTGTGCTCCATTTGCGTACAATGTGTCAAAATCCATTCTACTGTCATGTATAGTTAAAACAAAAATAGAAGGGAGACCAGGAGAATAGAAGAAGGGGATCAGGAGAAGGGAGAGGAGGGAAAGAGGAGGTACTGGGGAATGAAATTGATCAAATTACACTGTTTTATTGTGTGCACATATGAATATATAACAAATCCCACTATTATGTATAATTATAATGCACCAATAAAAGGGGAAAAATTAAATTTAATTATATTTTAAAAAAATTGAGCCAGACCTAGTTTTTCAATCTATTTGCTCACTTTTATTTTGAACAAAGTCATTTAACAATTGGACAAAGGGATATTTGGAAAAACAGTGTCATCATAAAGTTTCATTTACGTTTATAAAAAACAAAGTCCAAACAACTTGAAAAGCAGTATCATATATAATTTTGAAACATACCTAGTAAAGGAATAAAAAAAAGCACAAGACCTAACTTATGTCATATAAAAAATTAACTTGAAATAAGTAAGACTTACATATGAATTAAAACTATAAAAATCCTAGAAGAAAACCTAGGCTTTTCTTTGTTCTTGGATTAGGTTATAGTTTCTTAGACATGCAAAGCACAACCAACCAAAGAAAAAACTAGATAAACTGGATTTCATAAAAATTTAAAAACATTTGTGCTTCAAAAGACACAATTGGAAAGACAACTATAGAATGGGAAAGAATATATGCAAATGATATATCTAATAAAAGTCTAGTATCTAAAATATATAAAGAGCTCTTAAAATTTTTAAATGGATGAGAGATTTTAAATAGACATTTCTCTCGGGAAGATACACAAATGGTCAATAAGCACATGAAAAGATGCTCAACAACATTAATCATTAGAAAAATGCAAATCAAAACCACAATCAAGGCTGTGGTCGTAGCTCAGTGGTAGAGTGCTTGCCTAGCATGTGTGAGGGCCTAGGTTCGATTCTCAGCACCACATACAAATAAATAATTAAAATAAAGGTCCATCAACAATTAAAAATATATTTTAAAAAACACAATAGGGACTGGGGATATAGCTCAGTTGATAGAGTGCTTGACTCGCATGCACAAGGACTTGAGTTCAATTCCCAGCAGCACACACAAAAAAAAAAAACCAAAAAAACAAACACACAATAAGATGCCACTTCACACCAACTAGGATAACCATATAGACAGACAAATACCAGTAAAGATGTAAAAATAGAAACCCTGACACATGCAGCCACTTTGGAAAACAGTTAGAAATTCCTCAAAAAAGTTAAACATGTAATCCAGAAATTCCACTTCTAGATATCTACTCAAGAGAATTGAAAACACTCACAAAAAAAACCTGTGCATGAGCACAGAGCTTGCATTATTCGTAATAGCAAAAAGTGGAAATAGGTCTGGGGTTGTGGCTCCGTGGTAGAGTGCTTGCCTCTCATGTGTGAGGCACTAGATTTGATTCTCAGCCCCGCATATAAATAAATAATTAAAATAAAGGTCCATCATCAACTAAAAAATTTTAAAAAGGAAAGTGGAAACAACCCAAATGTCTATCATTTGAATGAATGGCTGAATCCTCAAACAGGCTAAATGAAAGAAACAACTCACAAAAGGCCACAAATTATATGACTGCATTTATATGAAATATTCAGAATAGGTAAATTCATAGAGACAGAAATTAAATTACCTATTTCCAGAGCTGGGTGAGGGAAGAATGGGGAATGACTGCTAATGGATATGGGGCTTCTTTTACAGAGTAATGAAAATGTACTGGAATTAGTGGTGATGGTTGCACAAGCTTATAAATATAATAAAAAGCACTGAATTTATGGTATGAATTATATATCAATAAAAAGTTGCAAAGGAGACTGGGCACATATCCCAGGGGTAAAATGGGTATTTAGCACTCACAAGGCCACAAGTTTGATCTCAAGCATCACTTTAACAAAAGAAACAAAGTTGCGTGGGGATAATAAACACTCAATTCAGGAGAGTCATTACCTGGGGGCACAGGGAGAGGTCATTCGTGGTGTGGCACACATGGGTCTTCAGTTACACAGTAGTTCTCCTCTTATCCAGGGTTTCACTTTCCATTGTTTTAGTTACTTGTGGTCAACAGTGGTCTGAAAATATTGAACAGAAAAATTTAAAAATAACAATTCATAAGGTTTAAATAACTTTTATTACAATACATTGTTAGAATTTCTTCATTATTACTTATCATTGTTAATCTCTTACTGTGCTTAACTTATAAATTAAACTTTACCATAAATGGTTATATGTACATATAAGAAAAATACAGTTTAAAGAGTTTGGTACTATTTGTGGTTTCAGGCATCTGCTGGGGGTCTTGGAATACATTCTCCCCAGATAAGAGGGGATTGCTATATTAGCAATGTTTTATTTCATAATCTGTATAGTAGGTATGTGGGTGTTCATTACATTAATAATTATATCTTTTGCAATGTTATCATAATTAACAAAAGTTAAAAATTATTTACTGAGTTTAGACCTAGATTAAGCACTGAACTACAGGGGGTGGTTCAATGAAGACTAAAACCAGTTCCCATCCTGTCCAAAAGAAAGTGGAGAAGTAATAAGTATAGAATATAGTATAAGTAAGCCATTTTACTTCTGGGATTCTCTTTGCTCACAAAAAAATATGAGAGCTAGATTAGAAGCTTGTAAGTAGAAGGTCTCTGAGGATCCTGCACCCTAGATGTGTGTGTCCCCTTTGTCAGCCCACAGCTCCTCCACGAGTTCATCATGTACAACGAGAGCATGGCCCTAGAGCCATTCCTGGTGCCATCAGTCACTGAGAGCCGGCCCAAAGCAAAGTCCCAGTCTCTAAGTCTGTGTCTTCTCAGTAAAATAAGAACAGTAACTTTTCCCTCCCAGCACTGCAGGAGTGTAAATGAGATAGCACATATAAAGTGTCAGGACAGGCCTGGCACACAGTAAATCCTCAACACATGGGAGAGTCCTCACTTTGATTCCACAGGCATTTCCTGAGCAGCACCACTGGGCCAGGCCATGCCGGGGGACAGAAGGCAGAGGAATTCCACTGTGAATGGCCAAAACAGTGGCCTCCAGCCATCTGGGGAGATATTCTCATAAATAATGATGCCAGGCAGGGTGTTGTCACTTGCTAAAAAGAGATAACAGGCATGTGCACAGATGCAGAACACGTGCAATGCAGACATTGGGAATGGGAGGTGTCCCAATCAAAAGGCCCAGTCCAGACTTGGAAAGAGGCCCTCATGAGGGCAAAAGCAAGGCACAAAGTTAAGGGACAGATTTCCATTCATACTGCAGTGCAGCCCTCCTTGTATTTTTTTTCACCTAATTTATACTCCAATGTTCCCACAAACTCTAGAACAGAGATGTCAATGAATTCAACAGTCAGCTTGGGAAAGTATGAGTTCATGGACATTCTAAGGTAGGGGAGTGGGGAGGCAAATGTCTAACAGTGCCAAGCAGTCTTATCTGGCAAGTCAGGACACTCTTCAAGCCTCCACTTCTCTCATTGTAAAATGGAGACGATAGTCGGGAGCAGTGGCACATGCCTATAAACCAAGTTCAAGGCTAGCCTTCACAATTTAGCAAGACCCTGTCTCAAAATTAAAAATAAAAAATTAAAGGTCTGGGGATGTGGCTCAGTGGTAAAGTGCCCTTGGGTTTAATTCACATTACCAAAAAAGAGAGAGAGAGAGAGAGAGAGAGAGGGAGGAGAGAGAGAGGAAAAAAGAGAGACTCACACAAACCATAAGACTATTGACCTTATACAGTAGTCCCCACTAGGGTTGTGGCTAAAAGTGATGTAATGACTGTAAAGTCATTAGCCAAGGACCTGGAACTTAATGACCAGATCAATGAAGAGTAGTTAACTTTAGGAAAAAAACAGATTCCATTTTGAAAATGAGGCAAATAAGATTCAGAAGTGAGATGACTTGCCCATAATCACAGTGGTAGGTTGTGGAGTGAGGATTTACATCCAGATCTGAGACACCAAAAGCTCAGTGCATCATCACCTCCCTCTGCTCCAGAATCTACCGGTTCCCTGTAGTCCAGTAAATAGAATCCATCCTTGCCATGGAGTAAGGACCCAGCAAAGGCTTGGTGCCAGGAAGACCCTAGGTAAGTTCCCTCATCCTGAGTTTCTTTTATTTTTTTTAAACTTTGTTTATTTATTTTTATGTAGTGCTGAGGATTGAACCCAGTGCCTCACATGTGTGAGGCAAGCATTCTGCCACTGAGCCACAACCCTAGCCCTCATCCTGCGTTTCTTGATCTGAGATTCCCAAGAGGGTCTGAGAAGATCTGGGGATTCCTCCACATAGTACATGCAAAATTTTGTGTCTAATGAAGATTCTTGAAGGAATCTAAGTATCAAAATTAACAAAACACTTGACTCACTTAGTATGTTTTCTTATCCATTCAATGGAGAAAACAAAATTTATCTTGAAAGACTGAGGACATTAAATGAGATAATTTGTGAGAAGTACCTGAAACATCCTAAATTCTCAATACACATCAGTATCCAGTCATCCTCCCTTTCTAACCTATTTCCATCATTCGTCAAATGTTACTGAGCATCTACTATGCGGCAGGAACCATTTCAGGTGCTGGGAAAAATGTGAAAAGTGGTGAAAAGACAATATTGGCTCGATTTTGATGGAGCTCACATTTCAGCAGAGGGAAACAACAGACAAATAAAAGTAATAATTTCAGGTATTAATTACTATTAGAACACTCACAGGGTTATGTAATACATATTGGTGGGGTGGGATGGGATGGCATCTAAGGAGAAAACACCTGAAAGACAAGGATATTGGTCATGCCAGTTGTAGGGGCAAAGCATGTTGGTAGAGGGAGCAAGCAAGGCAAAGCCCTGCTAAAAAGACCTAGACCCACCACAAACTGGGTCACTTTGAACAAGGCACTTAACTTCTGAGGTTCAGCTGCCACACCTACAAAATGAGAATTAAGCAGCCTTATCTGCTACAATGTGAGGGGATTCAACCAAAGGGCTGTTAAGGTCTGGAATCCTCCCTAAATCTCACCAACAGATAACCCATACATGTCACTGGGCACCCATCTTGGAAGTGGGGAACCTGCACAGAAAACCCTGGGTCCCATTTTTAAATTTTTACACTCATGCTGTATTAGAAATAACTTTTGTTTCTGGTTAATACAGAGACTTTTTTTTTTTTCCTGTCAGTTCAGGACTGTTATGATAATACTACTTCATATCCCCCCTGAGGTACAGAAACAGACATTTCGTGTAACTTAACTAAAATTCTCATTAGGTGCTTCAAATTGCAAACAATTCTCTCCTAACCTAGGGAGAAGAAACAGTTATGACGTTGGAGGCTGCCAGGAATAAGGTAGGATCATGAATCCATATATTTAAAAAATAAAAAGTAAAAAACCCAGACTTCCCCAGATCCTGATGCAAGAGGCATCCCAAGAGTTTGAGAAACACTGGGTCACCCTCGAACACTCCTAACTTCAAAATTCCAGGAAAAATGAAAATGCGTTCCTTCTGCTTCTAAGGCTTGCCATACTGCTACCCTAGGTGAAAATAATCAAGTGTGTTTTTCTGGAATTTGTCGGGTCTGGGAAAATAACCTGGGTTCCAATGCTGGCTCAGCGACCTTGTCCCCGCCCCTAAGACTCTCTTACCACGCCCACCCCCGCCCCTATCACCCGTGTGTCCCTGAGATCGTGACTGTCCCACCTGAGCATTAGTTTCCCCATCTTACAATGAACGTCGACAGCTCTGACGCTCTATGAACTGAGCATACCCGCAGCACCCCGCCGACCCAGCCTGACCCCTCCTTGTACTTCCCAAGTCCAGGTCCGCCTGAGTGCAGGAGAGAAACCCTTAAAACTAAGATCGCCCTCACACGGACTGCCCCTTCCCGGCCGCCGTCCACCTCCACCGGCACTGGTCTCTTCCCCGCCCTACCCTTTAAGCCTAACGGGGGCGGTCCGCGCAAGCGCACAGACCTGCCCCGAGACCCCGCCCCCTAAGTCTTGGGTAACGGCGCGAGGGGCCTGAGTGCGGTGCGCGACGGGACCACGAACTAGTAGGTTGGGGCTCGGCAACGGCGGCTGGCGAGGGTCATATTTCCTCTGGAGGAAAGCTGTGAGGGAGGGGTCAGGCCAGCAATTGGAACGCAGAGATCTGGAGCTCTTGTAGCTCAAGTCCATCTGAGGCACTGGGAAACTTGTGTCCAGTGACGGGGGTTGGGCTAGCGCGTGTTGATCCCAGATTTTCCAGATCGGGCGGGTGTCGGGGACACAGAGCTATTGAGACTAGAATCAGGGTTTAAAGGGAAAAAAATTAAAAAAGAAAAAACTGGGAGCGATTAGAAACAAACTTTGTTCCTGGTGGGAGCGAGCGGGCCAGTTGAGGACAAGCTAAGACGGGAGAACACGTCTTTGCCCCGAGCTCTGGGCAGGCACCGGCCCCGCCCTGGTGATAAAGTCCGACCGGCTTTCCTTGTGGGCGTTGGTGATTGACTTATTTAAGGTTCATTGAATACAATTGTAAGCCTTAGCATCAGCTAGAAATGCATTTGCAGTGGTACCGAGGAAATCAATGGACTGTAGAAGCCCTGGATAGAGAAGAACAGAGAAAGCTACCCAAACTAAATCAGAGTGGAGGGGAATGTTCCCAAGGGGAAACAGCACCTGCCAAGGCCTGGAACAGGGAGCAAGGATGGTGCATCATAAAGATGCTTCTTTCTGAATCTGGTTGGTGCACAGGGAAGAGAAGACGGTGGGCGGAGCTCTACTACTAACAGTGGAGATGCACAGGGAAGAATTCAAAACTATGTATTTAGGCAGCAGAATACACAGGGTTGGAGTAGAATGGAGAGAAGTACACGAGAGGCTTGGGTGCCAGGGTGAGGTTCATCAGAGAAGCAGATTTTTGTTGAGACAACCAAAAAAATTTCTCTGGTTGTGTGGAGATTTCCAGAAAGCGTTGGATATTTGACTTTGACCATCAGGAAAGTACTGCTGTGAGAATATAGATTTGAGCATCATCAGCAAAACAGAAATAAGGCACAAGGATGGAGACTATAGAATGAGAAAAAAAGGTCCCAGTTAGAACTTTTCGAAGTGATGGTCTTTTTTTATGATCCCAGTATCTAGCCTAAGGCCTAGCTTTACATGCAAATCAGTGTTTGCCAATTAAACAAAAGCCCAGCAGCTGACAGTTGGAATCCCATAGGTAGGAGAGATGCAGACTAAGGGAGTATCTTTATTTCTCTAATGTCAAAGTCATGGGTTCTTGTCTTGGTTCTACTGCCTGGCTGCTATATGACCAGTTTAAAAAATTAAAAAACCTCAGGTGTAGAGCTATGCTATGGTTTGGATACCATTTGAGTGTATCCCCAAGGGGTTCATGTATTGGGGGCTTGGTCCCCATGCCCAGTATGGTGATGTTGAGAGGTGATGGGACTTTTTTTTAAAGATGGGGACCTAGTAGACCTAGGTTGTAGTTCAGTGGTAGAACACTTGCCTAGCACGTGTGAGGTGCTGGGTTAGATCCTCAGCACCACATTAAAAAATAAATAAATAAATAGAGATATTGTGTCCATCTACAGCTTAAAAAAATTTTTTTTAAAGATGAGACTTAGTCCTTATGTCACAGGGGTAGCTGCTCTTGGAAGGAATAAAGATAGTATTTGTGGGACCCAGAGTTAGTTCTCAAGGGAGTAAGTTGTTATAAGAGTGAGCTTAGTTAAGTATAGTGGTACATGCCTATAATCCCAACTATTCAGGAGACTGAAGAAGGAGGATCACAAGTTTTGAGGTCAGCCTGGACAATTTAGTCCCTTATATCAAAAAGCAAAAAGGACTGGGGCTATAGCTCATAACATGTGCAAAGTCCTATAGTCAATCCCCAGTACTGTAAAAATAAAAAATAAAGAGAGCAAGACTGTTTGGGTGCAGTACTTGTAATCCCAGCAACTCGGGAGGCTGAGGCAGGAAGATTACAAGTTTGAGGCCAGTCTCAGGAATTTAGTGAGACCTATGCAACTTAGTGAGACCCTGTCTCAAAATAAAAAATTAAAAGGGCTAGGGATGTGGCTCAGAGATGAAGTGTCCCTGGGTTCAATACTCACTATCAGAAAAGAGTGAGGCTAACCTCAGAATCACTTTCTTTGGCTCCTCCTCAGTTGCATTCCCGCCTTTGTAATGCCATCTGCATGAGGACCTCACCAAAGCCACTGCCATGTCCTTGAATCTCCAAAACTGTGAGCTAAATAAACCTCTTTATAAAGTTATCCAGCCTCAGGTATTTCATTATAGTAACAGAAAATAGAATAACACAAGCACCAAACATGCTGAGAAACTTCACACAGATTTTTCTCATTTAGTCTATATAGTAAATTTACTTTTAAGGGAAATAATATTGTGTACTCAAACGCAGGTCTGACGGACTCCAGAGCCTTGTTCTTTACTATGACTATTGTCATCTGTCACCCAACAGGGATGTCATCAGGGCTCTCTTGAGATCACATGCTCATTGTTTCAAAACATTGTGCTGAGGCCAGCAGACTTGCACAATTGGCCTAACACTAGCTCTGTCATGAGAAGGGGGCAGAGCTGAATGCGATGTAGGTTACCTCTCATTTACTGACTCTCTTCCTGGGGACCACTGAGTTGAGCAGACATGTTCTGCTCTCAAAATTAAATGACAATAGGTCAGAACAAAACCAGTAACTGGCAATTCCATTTTTATCTAGGGCTTTCCAGATTCCCAAGGCCTGATGCCAAATGTGTAGCAAGCTGTGAGTTAGTACACCTCTGTGTGTCTTTGAGCAATCAGTCAGATTTCTTCTATTACACTATGTACTTGGGTTTCTGTTTTTTGGTGTTTGTTTGTTTGTTTTTCAATTTGGTACTGGAGATTGAACCTTGGGCACTTTACCATTGAGCTGCATCTCCACCCCTTTTTGTTGTGAGACAGGGTCTTGCTTAGTTGCCCAGGGTGGCCTCAAACTTGTGATCCTCCTGCCTCAGCCTCCTGAGTCGCTGGGATTACAGGCATGTGCCAGTGTGCTTGGTGGTTTCAGTCATTTCTATTCTGCTAATGTGATTTCTCAAAATTTTTTTCTCTTAAAAAAATAAATATTTAAAAAAATTTTTTTCTCATTAGATACTGTAATGATAGATATCCATACATAGAATGTAATTGTTTTCTCTTAACATGTTTGATTTTGGTTAGTAAGAGGGAGGAGTTCACCTTCTCTGCACTTCATGGCATTCCACAAAAGGCTCCCTCCCTGCCTCCTATGTAATTATTTGAGATCTACTGACATGGGTTGTTGGAATAAGAAGGGAAATTAATTTACTGTAATGGACCCCATCCCAAGAAGACTCATAAAAAATGTAAGCTTCAACCTCTTCCTCCTGTTGGACCTTTTTGAATCAGAATCTCTGGAGTAGAGTCTCAGAATATATGTATTTTCTTCAAGCAACCTAGAATGTTTATCTACTTTTTTTTTTTTGGATGCTGGGGATTGAACCCAGCCAGGGCCTTGTGCATGTAAGGCAAGTACTCTACCAACTGAGCTATATCCCCAGCCCTGTTTGTCCACTTTTGGAAACAACTCATTTCTCCCGTGCTTCTTGTTTTAAACAGAGAATCTGTATCTCTAGGAAGGGAGGGAACTTGTCCCAATCACATATGACATTAGTGCTTCTTTCTCCAACGAAGAATATTAGGCTAGAGTACAGAGACCTGAGTTCAAGTCAAGGCTTTACCAGTCAGTACATAGGGCAAGACATTTCATTTTCAGAGCTCCATTTCCTTACTGTGAGAATAATGCTATTGCTGTATTAGAAATCAAAAGAGAGAATGGCCATGGAAATACTTGGTTAAGCTGTTTTGTGTATATGGAAGTGAAGAGCTGGGACTAGCCAGTGTTCACTTCTCTGTACCACAGTGTCTTTTCAGGGTACCCAACCAAGGTATTACAGTGTTTCAGTGGTTGATGGGCCCCAGGCCATGTGTCACCAAGTTCTCTGTCACAGGTTGGGATGGCCACCAGCTGGGGGAGCCTCTTGCAAGATGAGCAGCTGCTGGAAGAGTTGGCTCGGCAGGCTGTGGACCGGGCCCTGGCTGAGGGCGTGTTGCTCCGGACCACACAGGAGCCCAGTTCCTCAGATGTAAGTCCTAGAGCCTCCCCACAACCTGACTACCCTTCTCCAATCCCCCTGCCCATTGCCTGGCCCTGCCAGACTGAGGGGAGATCTTTTGGCTCAGAGACCACATCTCTTTTGCTTTATTTTATTTTCTTCAATACTTAAAATTGACCTCAAGACATATATAAAGTAAAAATACAGCATGCTGGAGTAATCAAATTTAAATCGGGGGCTCAAAGTATGACTTAGGCAAGTTACTTAACTTCTCTCAGCTGCAAATAATGGGAGCTACCTAGTTGGGTAGGTAAAGAAGATAATTCACATAAAGCACTCTGTCTAGGGAGCAAGTATTATACACACACACACACACACACATATACATATATTTTAATTTGTCAATGAACTTTTATTTTATTTATTGATACGTGGTGCTGAGAATCAAACCTAGTGCCTCACACATGGTAGGCAAGTGCTCTGCCACTGAG